GACTCAGATCTGACCGCATGTTCACACCTAAGACCTCCTTCGCACATGATCTCGACCCTATATATATATATATATATATATATATATATATATATATATATATATATATATATATATATATATATATATGCTTTGAATCCCATGAGAACACACCCCTAGGAGAATACTAAGAGCAAATCTCAATCTTGCATCTGTAGACTTGCGTTCAAATGAGGACAAGTATATTATAGAGAATTGTGAGGACAGATGTAGTGTGTGTCATTAGTCTGTATGTCGTGTGCATGACCGAATGTAGTCGCGTGCCACAGTTTGTATGCCGTGTGCATACATTTGTTAATTAATAGAGCCTGAGTTCGAAACCTAATGTTTACATGTATTCTTGTGTGCCATTATGTATTTAATTGTGTGCTTGATAGTAATTTGTTGTGTGCCCATTATTTGTCCTCACAGTCCTCTATATATTGTTGTCCTCATTTGAACTATATATATATATATATATATATATATATATATATATATATATATATATATATATATATATATATATATATATATATATATATATGCTTTGAATCCCATGAGAACACACCCCTAGGAGAATACTATGAGCAAATCTCAATCTTGCATCTGTAAAAATTCGATGGTTCTAATCAGATTTAAAAAAAAAAAAAAACAAAACAAAACGCTATGACAATTTCGTAATTATTATCAATTTCACTATGCAAATTTGAACATTTAAATATGCAATCTTTAACAACTAAATATGAAAACTTGATAAATTTTATAAAATCAATGAAAAAGTTAATTTTAAATATAAATTGTAAATGCTATATGCTAATTGAATTCTTCATGAATGCTAGAAGAAGAATGGAGTACAAGGATTATATCACCTTCAAATCGCTATAAAATTAAATGTTTTGTCTCATTTACTTGTTTTGTACTTTAATTTCTATCATATCTACTCATATTCATTTGTTTTAGCAAATTCTTTGAAAAACCTACTTTCCGTTGCACAATCTCTTACCTAATTTCTATCATATCTACTCATATTCATTAATCTTAACTATCTAGCTAGTTGTTTTAAAAAATAATAATAATAAAAAATAAAAAATAAAAAATCTAGCTAGTTAAGAAGTCAGCATTATTGCATTTTGGAAGTGTTGAAAGTTTAACTAATCCAACCTCTTAACCTTCTCATTTTGGAAAATATAAAATAAAATTAAAAAAAGTCTATTCACCCATTCACCCACTCACCCACCTCACCCTCTCCTAGACCGGTCGTGATATCGTGGACCACAGTGCATGTGCACCGCGGTCAAAACGACACTGTTTCTTTAAGTAAAGAAACGGTGCGCCGTTAGTGTTAACGGAGCACGAATTTTTTTGTATGTTAATTACCAACTGACACTACATTGCTACAGTGTATCTAAACTAACACTACAGTGTATCTAAACAAACACCGTCTCACATATTATTTTTATATTATCAAATGAAACTGTAGTTATATCAAAATGATGATACTGTAGTTGTGGTGAAGTGAAACTGCTGTGTATATAAAATGAAACTGAATAACATTTCACATATTTGAGTGTATATTGTACAATGAAGCTGTAATTATATCAAAATGATCATGTAGTTATGTTTTAATAAAACTATAGTGTATATAAAATTAAATTAAATAACATTTTCACATATTTGAGTCTATAAAAATCGAATGAAACTGTAGTTATATCGAAATGAAACTGTAGTTGTGTTGAACTGAAACTGCAGTTGTGTTGAACTGAAACTGCAGCATATACAAAATGAAACTGAATAACAGAGTTACTTTTTGCGAAAGGGTGTGGAACGGCGCAAAACGAATGTCGTTTCTTTTCATTGAACAAAACGACGTCGTTTTGATGCGCGGTGCACAATAGATTATGCATCGCCGTGCACGATATAATTTGCCCTCCTCGACTTTTTACCTTGTTAAAGTGGGACCAAGACTTTGTTCTATACTTTGCACATTCAACTTTGATTTTGATTTTTATATATACCCTATTAGTAGGTGATATTAGAGAACTGGCTTCGACGGTAGATGATGTTCAGTTCTGTTGTGTTAGGCGATTTGTGAACACTGCCGCCCACGTTGTGGCTAGGGAGGTTTGTTCTGTGACAGGTTGCGAGGAGTGGTATGATGATCCCCCTACGTTTCTTGTAAACGCTTTAATTCGTGATTTAATGCATTAACTGCCTGTTTGGTTCACGGAATAGGCCGGGAATGGCATAGCATTCCCAGTAATAGGCCTATTCCTTTGTTTGGTAACCATGTCTATTACCAGGCTTAATATTCCTAGTAATAGCCTATTACATCAAATAAGGTAATAGCTATTACCAGGCCCCCCTGGTATTAACTTATTTCAAAGCCCTCAGGAATAGAATTTTTTTTTTCAATTTTAACCTTTATCATTCTCTGCGTTCTCTCCCCCATATACGATTCCTTCCCCGATTCTTTTCATCATCAACATCAATCAAACAATTTCTTCTGCCATTCTGCATTAATCTGCAATTCTTTCTATCATCTACATTAACATCAAATTAAAGCTTCATACAAAGGTAAGTTTCTGAATTTTAATTTTTATAAATTAATTATTATTAATATTTAATTATATAAATATATACATATATATACTGCATATATATATATATATATATATATATATATATATATATATATATATATATATATATATATATATATATATATTACATATATACTGCTGCGGCTGCGGAACCCTCCGCAGCCGCAGCAGTATTGTTTTTTTTTAAAAAAAAATTTATTGTTTATTGTTTATATATATATATATATATATATATATATATATATATATATATATATACTTTTTGCTGCAAAAGTGTTATTGTTATTTTTTTTTTTATCACAATAGTGTTATTGTTTGTTTGTTTGGTTTTTTTTTTTTTTTTAAAAAAATTTGCAGTTATGGCTCGATTGCGTTTAATAACACTACTATAAAAAAAAAAAAAAGATGTGTAGCTGTGTTGCGTACTTGCGTGTATGGTTGGATATGTGTGCTTCTGTGAGTTTATTGTTTATAATGATGATGTCAACCTTGACAATTTTGTGTTCTAATAAAAAATGAGTGAACTCTTATATAATTAACACTTTAGGGTCTCGAGAATATATGTTACGAACTGTGTATTCGTGTGATGAAAAATGCATATCTCAAGGGCATTTATGTCTTTTAAACATATATTCTATTCCTATTCCTTAACCAACCAAACATTAGAATACAGTTCCCAATGTCTATTCCTTGAGCGAACCAAAACTATTTTCCCTGTGAAGTTCTCTGTTTGCGAGTTTTAGAGATAAACTGTGTATTTCTTAATAGTATAAAATCCACTAGCAAATGTGTAAGATTACTATGAGGTAATCATCCATGTAGATACCGAATGAATTTGCATCTCTGTTGGGCTAAAATTGACTTTTGGGCAGGATGCGATATTTTATTAGTTCATGATCTAATGGATATCATATTCTTTGTTGTTGTTATGCTTCTTTCTTCCTTTAGCAATTTATAGCCATTTTCACATCCTTTGGTTTCTTGCTTCAGACGGATGCTGACAGGAGGCTTCTGGCTGCAAAGGGAAGTGTTCCAATTGAAATTGGCAGGAATTCACACATCAAAAGAGCAATCATTGGCAAGAATGTTCGTAATGGGAATGATGCGAAGGTTCGATATCAAATAGTTGTATGCTCTTCTCCTCTTTTTGCTTTTAAAAACTTGGCCATTAAACTAGTGAACAAGTGTGCTCAATCTTCCTATGCACGTGTAACATAAAGAAGCAGCTAACTTGACTCTTGATTGTTTCAGATCCTTAACAGTGAAAATGTTCAAGAAGCAGCTAGGGAAACTGAAGGATATTTCATTAAAAGTGGAATCGGAATCATCAAGGATGCATTGATTCCCAGTGAAACCATCATGTAGAAGTATTTGAAAATCATGTGTACATGATTACTGTAGTGTAGCCGTTAGAGAGACTAATGATGCATCCTGTTAAACCTTTCGTTTTAGTTTTGAACTTTTAAATAATAAAGCATCATCGTCATCTCTATGCTACTTTTTTCCCAGCCTAAGGCGTTTAATTGCTATGATTGAGATATAGGAAAATAACATATTTTAAAAACATTCATTACTATTTAAAATCACAATTTTATTTTAAAATAATTCAAAAACGCGACGGAATCGTGATGGAATATAAGATTTGCGACGAAATATTTGTTGCAAATGATGCGACGGAATTACGACGGGAAACATTTTGGTTGCGAAATGGGCGACGGAAAAGATAATATGGCGACGGAATATTCGGTTCAGAAATAACGACAGATTTGCGACGGAAACAGTTCCGTTGCGAAATGGGCGACGGAATCGCGACGGAAGTATTCCGTCGCCAAATGGCGACGGAAATATTCCGTCGCTAAGTCCGTCGCCAAAAGTTACGACGGAATTATTCCGTCGTCTTTCAAAATACGACAAGGCGATAGACGACGGAATAAATTCCGTCGCCATTCCGTCGCAAAACGCGATTCGCGACGGAATATTGCCCATTCGCGACGAAATTTTTCCGTCGCGATTCGCGATTTTTCTTGTAGTGCAAACAACAGAATACAATTTCTATTCTGTTCCTTACATATTCCATTCCTTATGGAATAACATTCCTATTCTTTCCAAATTGATTCCGTGAACCAAACACGCCATAAGTTCTTTGTTTCAAAAAAAAAAAATAATATATATATATACCCTATTTTTTGCCTTTACACATTTTCTAAAAAGAAAAATTACACTTCTATGTGAATCAAATTTTCTAATATAATACTTAGCAGTTAGCATCATCAAAATCTATCAATTTACCATTATACCTAACAAAAGAAAATTTAATTTAAATAGCTTTTTCCTTCCTTTGTTTCTGTTTTTGTTTTTTCGGTGGCCATGTTTAATTTGTTGTTTTCAAGTTCAAATTATATGGAAACTCAATGAAAGTAAAATATACAACAAAGACTAGGGATTTTCAGATCCCTATAATCACAATTGTAACACACACATATATATTATTACACTTATTTTTCCTCTCACTTAATTATTGCCCTAAATATATATTGGCTTGAATATTATAGCGAAACTGTAAAACTAAGCAATGCCAACAATATAATAACATGGTCTTGGTTGGTTCCAATTCCTTTACATACAAATAGTTAGTTCTGATACTAATTTTCTCCATTCACCAAATGTTGGAGTCCAATCTATAAGGTTGCTCCAGTGGTGGTTCTTGCTGGTTGACAGAATCCAAAACCATAGAGGAAGAAGCCGTCGTAACGGCGTAATTGTTAGTACTGCTAATAAAATCATTTTCAAATTGGGCAAGAAGATGATGATTCTCACTCTCTTGTGGTGTATGAGAGTATCCAAAAGTAGTAGCAATGGCTTGTTGGTCCCTTGCCTGGTTGGCTGCTCTAAGTTGTAAAGCCCTAAAGAGCATAGAGTTGACTGAGGAAAGGTTGGTGGTGGTGCTTAGAAGGGCTGGAGGCCAAGGGAGCAATGGGAGTGTGGTGATGGGGGTGTTGTTATTGTTGAAGTAATTATTGTTTTGCTGCCAAGAAATAATGTTGGGAAGATGATTTGGTGGGTCAATGTCCTCCAATAACTCACTTGCAAAGGTGGTGGTGTCACATGGAGACTCTGGGGATTGTGGGGAAGATGAAGTTGCCTGTGGCTTCTTTGCTATTGAGCTCTTTTCAAACACTCTGCACACTACCCATTCCTCCTGAAAAATTCAACATAATTTGGTGTTATTAATTAGCGGAAAATGCTAAGTGGACTCTTATTCTCTACTCCCAAACTTTTATTTTTACACTCAACATTTTGATTTAGACATTTTTATTGGGACTCACATGACGAAAAAAATGACTTATCATCAATGCCCGCCATATCAGGAAGTAAAATTGGAAATATAAGTAAACCAATAGTCTTGCTTGCTCTTTAGTTTTTGTTAGTACATTATTCTTTGAGTCTACTTAACAAAATTTAAATTTCAAGTTGAAGAAATTGTGTTTTTGGCTAATTGAGCAAGTTCGGTCTATAATATAATTATCATGAGTTACAAATTAAATAATGTAGACATTATTTAATCTAAAAGTGACTATGTTAGTTGTCATCTAAATATCTTAAGGATCAAAAGTGCATCTTTCACAAGTGTCTATTGTGGTCCTCTAATGGACAAAAATAGTCATTTTGATGACTAAGGGGATACGTACATTTGCAACTCATGGTCATATAATTTAGGAATTAAAACTTTTTGTTTTTTTACTTTTAGTTAATTAATTATAACGTCTAATTATATGAGAAATGATTTTTTTTTTTTAATTTTTAGTCCCCAAATTATGCCCCGCTTTAGTCATTTAAGTCCCTATCTTTCAGCTATTCTAGACTACACCTTTAACTTAATTAACCCCAAAAAAAAAAAAATTGTGATTTTAATCTATCAAGCAATAAAACTATAAACCTCCATTAGCAACCAATAATAATAATATTAATTATTATGGTTGAATAATATCGAAAAAATTAATATGGTTGATATTTTTTTTTTGTTTATATCTTATTTTGTAATAGTAAACATATGGACTAAAATGAATAGAGCAGTATAGTTAAGGATCTAAAAATACATTATCCTCCTAATATTTCTATAAAAAAAAAAAAGTAGGTACATACAATTAAAATTAGTTCTAAAAAAATAATCATTAATATTAAAGTTGTAGACAAGATTATGGCTATATATATATATATATATATATATATATATATATATATATATATATATATATATATATATATATATATATATATATATATATATATATATATATATATTGGAAATTACTGGTTACTAATTTTCAGATAGCATATTGTGATATAATTTTAACAAACGGATTATATTAACTATTTGTAGTGTAGTACATGGAAAAATTTATTTTTTATTTTTATTGATAACAAGTACAAATATTTATAAGCATGCATGATGATGATGATAGTATTATTATTATTTTATAAAACTTATATTTAACAATTAAATAATACTCATTATTACTAAAAAAAACATCAGTACTAATAAATATTTTGCATAATAATAAATAAATAATAATCAAACAACCAAACTTTTTAAAAATAAAAAAATAAAAAATGTCTAGCTTTTGGGTTACTACCTAATGTGAGACATTAGCTAGCAATCAAAGCGCGGGAACTCTCTTCCTTATAAAAAGTGGGGATGCTTTCATAGTAAGCAATTTTTCTTTCTTTTAATAAATAAATAATAATCAAACAACCAAACTTTTTAAAAATAAAAAAATAAAAAATGTCTAGCTTTTGGGTTACTACCTAATGTGAGACATTAGCTAGCAATCAAAGCGCGGGAACTCTCTTCCTTATAAAAAGTGGGGATGCTTTCATAGTAAGCAATTTTTCTTTCTTTTAATAAATAAATAATAATCAAACAACCAAACTTTTTAAAAATAAAAAAATAAAAAATGTCTAGCTTTTGGGTTACTACCTAATGTGAGACATTAGCTAGCAATCAAAGCGCGGGAACTCTCTTCCTTATAAAAAGTGGGGATGCTTTCATAGTAAGCAATTTTTCTTTCTTTTAATAAATAAATAATAATCAAACAACCAAACTTTTTAAAAATAAAAAAATAAAAAATGTCTAGCTTTTGGGTTACTACCTAATGTGAGACATTAGCTAGCAATCAAAGCGCGGGAACTCTCTTCCTTATAAAAAGTGGGGATGCTTTCATAGTAAGCAATTTTTCTTTCTTTTAATATACATACATACATACATACATACATACATACATACATATATATATAAAAGAGCGCTCATATGTGGTCATGTCATTAGGTGTAGTCGTGTGATCGTATCTGTGTTGTTGAATCAGTTTAATCTAACGGCAGTGGTAATTCTGATGATTTTCGCGCGTTTTGGTAAGTGGGGGTGTTATGGTAATTACATGCAGTGGCCATGTATATCGGGCGGGTTCCAGAATACACCAACAGTGTTGACAACATACACCAATAGTGTAATAAAACACACCACAGTGAAACACACCAATGGTGTATTCCCGTGTTATGGTAATTACAGTGGCCATTTATAGCGGTCGGGTTCCAGAATACACCAACAGTGTTGACAACATGCACCAATAGTGTAATAAAACACACAACAATGTGATTTTCCCTATTCCGGTGTTTTATGACGAGTTTGCCCTTGCAGTTCGCTGGGTAGGATAATGTGCGCGAAAATACTGGAAAAATCTTGATTAATATGATTCATTAGATCTATCTAATCTAATGGCCTATAGTTGACCATATGACCACACCTAACAACATGGCCACATGTGATCACTCCTATATATATATATATATATATATATATATATATATATATATATATATATATATATATATAATCATATAGAATTATGCACTTAATTTAAGTGATATATATTATATTTGGGTTCATGAAAAATGAAGTCCATATTCATTTCACTTGAGGAAATGAATATGAAGAGAGAAACCAAAATAAGCATAAATCTTATTATTCATTTGAAGTTGATTGAAAATTTGAAATGAACATGTATATTTACTTAGTAAAGTTATTAAACTCAGCATGCTTGCACCAACTTCTACCAACGATGCACCAATATGATATATTTATTGCTCATTCTCACTTACTATGCGATACTCAAACCAGCAATGTATCAATTCTAGGTAGTTTCAGAAAAATATTCTTATGGCAAAACGTGAATTTTGTCCTTATGTTGTATTTTTTTTTTTTTATTAAAAAATCAATTTTGTCCCCCCTCCCCACCCCACAAGAAAGGACACACACACTTTTTTGTTTATTCTTTCTAAATTGTCAATAATTTATCATAATTTCGTTGAACTTATTTAGCACGTTTGTTAAAAAGTTTTTGTTAGAGTTAATTATGAATTTAATAATTTGATTATCACTTATTTTTAATTTTAATCTTTAACTTTTAAAGTTATTAAATTTAGCTTTTAAGTATTAAATTCTTTCTAATTTAATTCACTATTAGCTTTTCCTTGGGTGAATCAATAACATTAAGAATAAAATTAAGACTGTTAAAATAAAGAAATTATATATGGTTTTGTGACATATTAAGGACCAAAATCGCAACACATAATCAATGTTGTAAAAATCGGTTTAGGCACTGGCCTAGACACTAGGTGCCCCTTGTTCGAGGCGATTTTAGTCTTAGGTGACTTTTAGTCTGTCAATCGACTAATCGGTCGACTAGGTGCCCTAAGCGCCGAGTTGGGCGCCTAACTCGACCAAGTTGGTGTCCAACTCAATCGAGTGTTTTTTTTTTTTTTTTTTTTTTTTTTAGGCTACTCCTCTTTTATATTACTTCAGTCATGTACTCAACTAATCATCTAACATATGCAGTTGACTAGTTTATGAGATTATAACAGTCTAACAATTCCCAACTTTAAGTGAAAAAAGTGGTGACGATATACTCAGATTACTCGGCCGCCTAGGCACTCTAGGGGCCCAACTAGCACCTAGCGCCTTGTGCAAAATTGCATATAATCATTAAGAACTAAACTATGGGTCTATAGTTTAAGGACGGAGTACGTGCAGTTATATATCCCTCACCACTTAGCTTTTATGTGTACGTATAACATACCTTAGTGGGTTTGAAGCCATGCTTGTTTTCGAGTCTATATTCATGCATAACCCAATTGGACTTTAATCCCTTGGGAGCCCTCCCTCTATAGAAGACTAAGGTTTTCTTCATCCCCACCAACACACCACTCGTACCACAGAATATCTCCTTGTCTTTGCCAGTGGTTTTCCAGTAGCCTGCTTCTGTTGCTCTGTTGGTCCGCAGCCCGGTTGGGTACTTCCGATCTTTCAAGCTAAAGAAATACCATTGTTTTTCACCCATTGAAGCTTTGCCTGCACCACATATACATATACTTTTATTGATTTGATTTGAATTGTTTTTTTTTTTTTATACATTATGTTTTTCAGTTTATGCTAAATTAATCCTAAACTCTCAGAATCCTTAGCTTGTTCAAGAGTCAATGCATAAGGAGATTTAATTTCATCATATCACATCTGATCGATCAAGGTTGTCTCCCAATATCCTCGTGTTTCCCATGGGATTTGAACCCCCACACTAACACGGGAACAAGAGGGTGTTTAGTTCAAATTATATAAGATAACTAAGATTATATTTGTTTTGAAATATAAGATTCCTATGTTTGTTTTTCTTAGAGAATATATCATAACCTTCACATAAGACTTTTATTAGTTATTTGAAAAGAATGTGAGATACTCTTTTATTTTTTTATTAGGTATTCTCACATTCTATCGTCTTTTTATTAATTTTAATTTGTCATTTTAACCCATTGATTTTTCTCCTTATTATCTTATTTATTTATTTTAATTTTAAAATTTATTGAAAAACATATGAATAGGTTAAGGATATTAAAGTAATATAATCATTATAACAAAAAAAAAAAAAAAAAAAAAAAAAAAAAAAAAAAAAACTCTTCAACCAAATAGGTTTATATTACCTACATCATGTTTTTCAGTTTACACCAAATTAACCATAAACTCTCAGGATCTTTGTCCAAGAGCCATTACACAAGGAGTTTTCATCGCATCTGAATATCTGATCGATATGATCAAGGTCATCTACCTCCCAATGTCCTCGTGTTTCTCGTGGGATTTGATTCATTTGAACCATGGCCGCATATTAACACCGGGAGTAAGAGGCCGGGTGTTTGGTTCAAGTTATATAAGATAACTAATGTTATATTTGTTTGGAAATATAAGATGGTAATTTTCTTAGAGAATTTATATATATCATATCCTCCACACAAGACTTCCAGTTATTTGAAAAGAATGTGAGATACTCTTTTCTTACTTCCATCATCTTTTTATTAATTGTGTCATTTTAACCTATTGATTTTTTTCCTCATTGCCTTATTTATTTATTTTAATTTTGAAATTTATTGAAAAACATAATAAAAATATGTTAAGAATATTAAAGTAAAATATAATCATTATAACCCAAAAAAAAAAAAAAAAAAAAAAAAAAAAAACCTCAAAACTCTTCAACCAAATAGATTTATATTACCAACAGCAACTTTAACCAAATCCAATAATCTAGCTAATATTCCTAACAATTTAGCATTCCCTAAATAATCTAACATTTAATGGACCAAACACCCCTTAAGGTGATTGATCGAATCAATTGAGCTAGTCCCGCCCCCACGGCACTGAATTGTTTTGTTGACTCCACAATGAGGAGCCAGCATATTGTTTGAGAATTCTATTCTATATATATATATATATCAAGAATGAAATAAAAACCGTTTACTGTATACAATAATAATTGATACATTGAAGAATTAGGATACATAGGAAGGAAGATACCTGGAAGATCCCAAGGCTCATTCTTGTTGAGATCAACATCGACAATGGCTTTTGCAGTGAAGGTAAAATCGGAAACTTTGTTACTGAGGTAATATGTTATGAGCTCTTCATCACTGGGGTGAAACCTAAATCCCGGTGGAAGATTTCCCTCCATTGATTCAGATCGATATGATCTTCTTTATTTCAGATCAGATGATCTTAATTGGTGATGATGATGATCATATCGATCAGTATACTTATGCAGGCAAGTACATATATATATATATAATGGTGCTGGGCTTACGTTACGTTGTTTCCTATGCAAATCATGCTTCAGCAAGAAGCTAAGCTAGCTCCAATAATAATATTTTATTTCCAAGTAGCTAGCTAGTAGCTACTCGGTCTTTAATTTGTTATTTTTATGTATGTGTGTGTGTCTTGTGTATCTAGGTATGCATGCATGCATGCAAATTTATATGTGTGTTTGAAATAACATAATTTGAATAACTCTTCTCCCTTAAAAGATGTCAGAAGTTCGAACCTCCTCTTGTATGAAAAATTCAATATGATCGCTATGTCTTTTAATTAAGCCGGTCCGATGCAAATAGAGATTAGTCTGATTATGGTATGAGCTTAAAGCCCTCTCCTGTAATTAGGACATGTTCATAACACTTTGTGGTATATCCTTAAAAAAGAATCATAATTTGAATAATTAAATGTTAGTCGCGGCATTAAGAAGCGCATCTGATGTAATGGTATCATAGTACCCTCCCACGGTACCAACGGGGTTTGATTCCCTGGATGCGCACATTATATAACCATTGTTATAGACTGACAATTAATTGAAAAATCAATTCATTACCTTAATGATGGTCACATCAAATCGTAATATATAGCCAATCAATCTTATTAGGGGTTGATTTGGAAATTAAAAAATTAAAATATTTTTTGACAAATAATTTTCATAAACTACTCATTTTCTGTTAGATATTTTTATTTTCTATTTTCTATTTTTTTTAAAATGTTTAGTTGAATGTCAAAAATAAATTCTATTTAGTTCATTTGTTGAAATATGAATTGAAATAAATTATATACTTATTTATTATAAAAGATTAATTATTTTCATAAGGATAAAGATAATAATACTTGTAAGGAAATGCAGTTGCGCTTTCGATACTAGTTATAACTTTTGGAGTAGTGATAAGTTCTTAATCCTGACAATATAAAAATATAAGGTGAGTCTTATGTGAGATTGAGTAGAGTCACGATGAAAATGTAATTCTTATGTTGAAAAATGTAATACACATATGGAATAAATTGTTTTTTTTTTTAAAATTTATAAGGAAAAGGGATACCCTATATATAAACACTATTTGCCTCAACTGAGGTTCGAACCTTACACCTCCCACTTAAGAGAACAACCCAATACCAATAGACTACAAACCACTTGGTATGGAATAAATTGTTTATTACTTATAAAGGAAATTCTAATACTTTTGAGAATGAAAAAATTGTACAGAGTAATATTTAGGGGTTGAACAATTACTTATGAGAAAATGTATAATACTAATTAGAGATTAATTGATTGATTGTTACTTATGAGAGAAAGTGTAATACTTATAAGAAAAAATGTGATACTTTTTATGAAAACTGTAATACTTTTAAATTAAAATATAATATTAGGGATTGAAGAGTTAGTTTTGAAAACAATTATAATATTTATGAGGAAAAAATAATATAATACTTTATGATCCGTCTCACGTATATAATAATACTACGTACCTAGATGACTAGATCAACAAACCAACCATAAATATATAAAAAAAATTATAATAAAAATGTTATTAAATTGTATGCATGCATATGTAAGTTTAATACTCTCTGATCTCTACTCGCATAGGCAGCTCAACTGGTCATAGATGTAAAATTTTGGAAGAATGACCAGGGATCGAGTCTCACCAGCAGTAGTGTGTGAGCAATCTCTCAAAGTGAGGGGGGTTCCTTGTGCGCGCAGTGGGCACCAGTCTAGCCTTGGTGGTGGTTCATGTTCAATTGAGTTACCATGATTTACATCCTCTCAAATGCTCTGTGGGGGCCCTAAAACTCAAATTTACCAATAAAAAATATTTAGGAAATTGATGAACTAAAACTACATTCTTTTTTATACTTAATGATTATTTGATTACATAATATATTTTTAATTTTATTATATTAAATGTATAAATATAAATATTTTATTATTTTAAAATTTTATTCAAAGGGTCATGAATCTCACATGTTTATCAAGAAAGTTAATAGAATTTTGTTACTAAAGCTCTGGCTAATTCTGGATTTATCTATATGTAGAAATGCTTCTAACATAACTACTATAGATCTTATACGTGGTATAAATATTATAAAATTTATTGAAGAAAACAGATAATAAAATGCTAAATTTGTGTGTGTGTGTATATATATATATATATATATATATATATATATAAAAGATTTTGGATCCGGTGAGGTTACCTTTGTCAGGCGAGGTGGTGAGGCTTGATCTGATGTGTTTATTTAGGTTTTTGGATGGATTAGATTTGACTGAATATAATGCCTTGTGCGTATGATTTATTTGCATGTGAGGGTGTTGTTGTCTTTTTGGTAGTGTCTTAATTAGGGTGTAATAATTAATTAGCAGATTTTATGGGCTTGTGCACTACTTAATTATGGTATTGTATCGGGTGTGTGCAATTTGTTTTCCCGTGTGTGCATTTGACTTCAATTCTTTGTTATGCTGTGTGTGCAATTTGTTTTTCCGTGTGTGTGTTTGGCTTAAATTCTTTGTTATGACGGGTATGATCAATCAGCGGTATGGTTGTGGTTTTTGTTGCATGTTGATTCCGTTATTCAATTTAAAAATTAATGAACAGAAGTTTGCATTGTGTTATGAAGTTTTTCTGTGTGCATTTTATGTGTTCGGCTTGTGCGTTGGGTCACAAATTGGTTGATAAGTTTTCAGGCCAAATATCTCTTATTTGGACTGTCAACTAGAATTGAGGCAAACTTTTACCATATTTTTATAGCTTGGTTTTTGTTTTTTTACGTAAAGCAATTTTGGTATGTGTATTTTAATTGTAACATGTTATGATCTATTAACTGTTGGTGCGTTGTTATTTTATATATTTATTTGGTGCTTTTTGTTGTTATAGTCTGTGCGATTGAGGTTTACAAGGGGTGTGTTTTTTTTTTTTTTTTTTTTTTTTTTTTTTTTTTGGGTTTAAAATTAACACTGGATTCTAGTAGGTCTGACGTTTGTTCGGTTTAGTTTTTGGGCTTGTGCGTTGGGTTCTTAACTCAAAGCACCGACTTAACTAAATGGCTGCACAGACGGAACATAACCCATAACACACTTCTATTAAGGTTGCACATACCTCTTTCTGGTTGCACCTTCATTGTTGAGGAGATATCCCACCGCAAAACACTATTGCTGAGTACAAATGTTTAAATACAACTCACACTCTATCAACAATAATTTATAACCGTAAATATATTATTCAACACCATAATTAGTTGATCCTTAGCATGGAATATATTCCAATCTATTCCTAACCATATATAGCTCTAATATTACAATTACTTATACACCCTTATGCATATACTACTACCATAGATGGAAAATAAATCTCTTTCAATCTCACCCTTTGATATGTTATGATTTAATGGATGAGATGAGGCCTCATTATCTCACCCATCTAAGTGACCTCATAGGATCCGAAGCATATATATATATATATATATATATATATATATATATATATATATATATATATATATAGAGAGAGAGAGAGAGAGAGAGAGAGAGAGAGAGAATTAGGTTCAAATGAGAACCTCTGATAACGTGTGAACTGTGTACCATTGTGCATAGTTGATCTTGCTCGATATTGTAATTATAATGATTTTAACATGGTAAATATACATCACTACACTGCTACACCACTGCATAACTGGACCGAATGCACCAACCAATGCACTACTCCTCAGATCTCGACCGTCCAATTTCACATCTCACTAGGAGTTCATATGTTGACACCTAATTCGGCAGTGTGTGTTAAAATTTTTTGTAAAAATGATAAATTATGGCATCTATCTCATTTCACAGTATTAAGAAAAACGAGATAAAATTTGATTCAACAAATAGGACTTAAAAAAAATAAAAATTATAACATGTGAAATATGATCATTGGTTATTGGCAAGTTGAAGTATGAAATTAAAGGGACGACAGAGATATATGCTTCATTAGTTTGCATGTCCAACCACTTTCACCCATTTCTACCAACCCTAATTAAAGCGTTTATTCAATTCTCACTATTGCCCATTGCCAATTGCACTCTTCAATGTATCTTTAATATTCTTTGATTTACAGAAATGTCCAGATGAGAGTCACTACTCGAAAGTGGATTATATTGTGGGTGAAATTCGTCTACTTTATAATTTTAAATTAGTTGGTAAAAGGTCACAAAGAGATAAATCAGCTACCCAACTCAAACTTAAAATTCAATAGACAATTTTCACCCGGAGTCAAAATTTGAACCTTATAATTACCGAGCTAACTTTTGGTTGGGTTGCACCTATAAATGATACACCTAAAGGTTTAGGCTAAAAATAGTTACACTCTTTGATTTGGAAATTACATTAATGCACCTATTAATACTAGAAGAGAGTTTAATTCTTTATACTCTTCCAACTATACCCATTGTGACCTATATCATACTCTTAATAGGATCCATCAATGACTGTCAAAAAACTGTAATTTTCCAACCAACCTTTCATTCAACTTTTCTATACATTGTATGCTTTCCTTCCAAAATGGTAATTAAAATTGAAAATGGACAAAAATATATTGGCCAAAACTTTCCAACCTAATATAGTTGGAAGATATTTCCGTACACCAATTAAGCAACTGTAGTAAGGCCTAAATAAGGTGGACAAAAAGTTGTTGTTATTATTATTATGCGAAAATGACATTTTTTCCCCCTGAGTTATATACTTATAGCACTTTTTCCCCCTCAATTATTTAGGTAAGCACATTAGCCCCTTCAATTATTCTAAAAGTGGTTGTTTTTCCCCCTAATATATTAAATTGACATTTATACCCTTAAAATAAACATTTTATTTATTTTACTTCTCCAACAAATTATGCGTATACGTAGGGATGACTACGATTCGGTTCGAACTGAATCGGACACTATAGCAATCGAATTAAAAGTC